TGTGCGGGGCATAATTATTTTTTCAAATAGTTCCTCTCTCAAATTTCTTTACACATCACCCTATATGAAATTTCTCCATATGCTTGTCAATAAGCTTGATAACATCACTAGGTATCTGCAAAATAGACATCAAATAGACTGGAAGATTTGCATAAGATGATTTAACCAAAGTGATGCGCTCACCGAAATACACTCTTTTGATCTTCCATAGGTCAAACTTTACCTGATATCAATGAATAAGAGGGTCCCAAACAACTCTAAAGAGTTTTCGATCAGAAATAGATACCCTCAAGTATTTTAAAGGGAACTTGTCAATTTTACTGTTCAAAACAAAGGCAGGAGAGTTCAATAGACTGTTAGAGCATGAGATACCCATAATCAAAGTTTTGTGAAAATTGACTTTGAGACCCAAAGCAAGCTGGCAGCAAAGGAGAAAGGTGCTCAAGTATCGAAGTTGTTCAATCTTAGCATCACAGAAGATCGGTGTATCATTAACATATTTGCAGATGAGAGATGGTAGGGCCAATTGATGATACTTGAAAACATGTAAGACGACTTGCATTCACAATATTTTTAAGCATAGACTAAAATCCTCAGCTACCAGAGTAAAAAGGATAGCAGAAAGAAGGTCTCCTTGTCTGATGCCTCCAGTAACACGAAACAAACCCTTAGGAGATCCATTAATAAGACTTTAGAAATGTGCCGAAAAGATGCACCCCATAATCCAAGAGATCCGTTTGATACCAAACTTCTCATAATCTTTGAAGTACCTGCCATTCAACTATATCAAAAACCTTCTCTATATCTAATTTAATAAACACATCTGGCAAGTTTGAAAGTTTCATAGAGTGGATGCATTCTTGGGCAATGAAAATGTTATCCGTAATCATACGGTCTCTAATGAAAGCAGATTGTTCATTAGAGATCACAAAAGGAAGGACCAGCTTAAGTCTTTTTGCAAGTATCTTGACAATAATTTTATAAAGACTACTTAAAAGGCTAATAGGTCTTATATGACCAATCTCAGCAATAACATCTTTTTTAGGAATTAAGGACATGTAGTAGATTAATGCTTTTAAGTACTGTCCTAGTAGTCATAAATTCCTTAACCATGGAAACAACATCAACTTGAAGAATATCCCAGAAATGCTGAAAGAAAATAAGGGGGAAGCCATTAGGGCTAGCAGCTTTGTCCCCAGGTAGAACAAAAATAGCCTGTTTAACTTCTTCAACAGACACTTCTCTCTCTAAATCTGAAGCCAAATAAGATGACATGGATTTAAAGGGAACTCCACCTAAAATAACCCCAAGATTATATCACTTGAAAAATCCCTTTCAAAGTGATTAAAAGTTGCCAAAGCACGAGCTAAATTGTCTCCCTCCATAACCCTGGTAAGCTCAAGGCCGAGATGTCATTTTGCCTTCTTCGCAATTCACAATAGCATGACAGAATTTAGTGTTCATGTCACCTTTCTTAAGCCATTTAACTCCTGATCTCTGCTTCCAATAAATTTCTTCCATCCTGAGTTTATCATGTAGCTTATTAAGAAGGCCATTCATGTTTACGATCATCTCATCAGATAGACTTTGATTTTCCTGTATAGTGTTTTCAAGGTCCAACAAAGTGGTTTCATAATTCCTTTTGAGCTGGTATTGATTATATTTTTTCCAAGAGATAATTTATGTTTAAGGCAAATAAGTTTTTTGTGGAGACAGTAACCAAAGCTACTCAAAACATAACAACTTTGCCAAGTTTGCTGGATGATATCATTGACCTCTGGCTCCTCCAACCAATTAATATCAAAATAAAAAGGTTTATGCTCAGATAAAATATCATTAGTACAAAGGCAAATAGGTAAATGATTAGAGGAGAGCTTGGTTAGAGCATTAACCTTAACCAATGGAAAGGCTCTTTCTCATGCCTCTGTAACAAGAAATCTGTCAATCTTTGACATAACCAATTGAGATGAGCTATTATTGGACCAAGTGAAGTGAGCCTCAGAAATAGGAAGGCCTAAAAAATCATTCTCCATTAAAATCATTAAAAAGTTGTATTTGAGAGTTAAACCGAGAGTGAGAGAAAATTTCATCAAGATGACGAATAAAATTGAAATCCCCCCCAATACATACAAGAAGCCCCGAGGAAGAGATAAAGGACTTCAAATTATCCAAAAAAACCACTTTAAGAGATGCAATATTCAGTCCATACACATTTATAATCACCCAACGAAAATCCCTGGTCGGGCCTAACAGCAAAAATCTATCAGATTTGAAAACATTCAAGCACATAAGAATTGCTGGGTCCCGGAGGACCAGCATCCCTCTAGAAAAACCGATAGCATCCATACCCTCAAAACATACAGAACCATTACCCCACAGGGACTTAACTTCCATAAGAGAGGGAGTAAACACAATTAGTTTCTTGCATGACAAAAGTAAAAGGCTTAAATTTAGAGATTAAGAGATTTACCACTTTTTTGTGACACTTGTCACAGAGGCAGTGCACATTCTAACTTATAATCTTCATGGGAGGGCTCGCTAGGTCCCTCGAATCCACCATCTTCAAAGGAGCTAAGAGAACTGGAGGAGGAGGTACTGCCATTACTAGAGGTGAAAGATTTAGACTTCTTCTTAGAGAAGGTCCCCCGACTTTGCTTGAAGACAATTCCACCAGGCGGTGGAACAGAATGACCATGGTTAGTAGCTAATTAAGCCGAAGAGTGTTTAACCTTAGGCTCAGTCCTCTTATTGACCTCGGGATCAAAGAGCAAGGAACAGTCCTTCAGATTAGATGGTCCAGTAGAGATACGCTCTGGTATCTTGGCCAAATCAAAATGGATATCTTCATTAGTTTCTTTAACAGTTTTTGGCCATCTGACAAACAACCTTTACCGATGCATCCATAGCAACAATCACTACTTCTATAGAAGAAGCAAAGGTGGCACCCACCTTCTTGAAAATGGCCTGGATAGCAGAACGACCAAGATAGATAGGGTCTGAAGGTTGGTGCTCCACAGGGTGTTCATATGAATGAGGTTGATCCTCCATTGCACAAACCGGTGCTATTCCAGGAGGCCTCCTACCATTAGAAACATAGACCTCATTGCATGCATCTTCCAGAGAGACATATTCTTCATCATCTTCCATAGGGTTGTCTTCAACAATAGCATTGATGTCCATTGGATCCAGAAATGGTGGTTCATCAGGTGCCATAATGGCCAGTGGAACAACCATATCTTCCTAATCATCAATTGAGACCATGTTGCTAGGCCCCACTGCGGGCAAAGGATCAACAGACAAAGGAGTATCAGGCAAATCAACCTCATCTTCTGAGTCATCAATCTTGACGAAAACGGTTATCTAGCTAGGAGCAGGGAAAGGAGTAGGTCTCAGAGCTCTAGGACGTCTGACTAAGAGGCGAAATGGTAGGAGCTTCTGATGAAACATGGTGAGAAGGAACAGTTGGGTCGAGAGGGGGTGTCCAAGAGAAGAAAGGGAGCAGAGGAGGAGAAGGAGATCCCAGGAATCCGAATGCTTAAATGGGACAAGAGGTCCAAATTGAAGCACAAAGACCATCGGGGGAGAAGACGGAGAAAAGAGGACGATTGTCATGTTTCACCAATGGAGGTCGAGCCTTGGTAGGTGGCCAAGAATAGCTGTAGGAGGGCAAAAGGGAGGCTTCACTTTGGATTTTTTAAGAACATCAACCCAAGAAAGATTCTCCTAACATTCTTCTTGGTGGGCCTTAGGAGGGGCTTTCTGGTGGTCAAAAGAAATAGGATTAAGGCGAGCCAAAGGAGGTGGGATCAGGGGGATAGGGATAGCCGCCTTCATATCCTCTGAAGTAATTTTTATAATGAAAAGGTCTGATCCCACAAAAAGGTTGATAAACAAAGGTAAGTAGGACCCGACAATTATGAAATATTGACCCTGATTGAGGAGAGATCAGGACCCACCATGCTCTCCCTATCAATGTCAATGAAGACCCCTACTAAATTAGCAAGGCATTGGAACACGCTCATGTTCCAGGTATGCAGTGGTAGTCCTAGAAATGGACCCAACAAGAAGAGCATTGAGTGAGGTTTGAATGATCTTGAGGTTTTCAAGAATCCACCAAAAGTAGTTTATTTCTGATGCTACGAATGTGAAGAACATTTCTAACATCATCAGCAGAAGAATGGAAAAAGGCAATCCAGTCGCTCCCGAGGGAACAAACCACATGAGAATAGGGCGTATTCCAGATTCTCTTAGCCCAATCGCTAAGACCTTAGATATCAATAGAGGGAGGAGAGAAAGAACCAATAACAAGCAGTGAGGTAACTTTGAGAGACTCATATAGAAAAGATGGTGTAAAGGAGAGAAGACGAATTAGGATCCATCAAACCAGGGTGCTACCCATTGTCGTCCTCCTCCATCCTTCTCTTCAAATGTAGAAATGCAGTCTCTGTAGCATGAAACAATTTTCTAAATGGGTACCATTAGACTAGTGCAGAGTGGTGCGCAACCCCAACCCTGCCTCAAGAGGTTATTGTGGATTAGATAGAGCTTACTAAAGGTTGTAGTTTGAGGCTTGGGTTGAGTGGGAGAGGTAAAAGAGCTCAAGGTCTACAGAAGCTGCTTTGGCAGAGATAGTTGGGGTCTACAAGAAAAGAATGTATTGTTGGAGTTTGTAAATCTTCCGATTGATCAACATGAATTTGTCTTTGAGATGTATGATTATAAATTTAATTTACAAAAAACACCTCCCCATTCTCCATATTTTATAGGATTTAGATGCGCCTAACCTATTCCCGGTCTAAAAAGGTTAGTTCCGATCTGTATCATCCAATTTTTTAAACAACGGTCTCAAGTTTGAGTAGCCATCGTCGAAACAAATTTTATGAGGAGTTGAGATACCCAACGTAATCATATCGTGCAATGATGCGCACGACACGACATACTCGTTTAATACGTCGTCGCACGTCCAATTAAATTAAAGTACTCTTTCAAATATCACAGACAAAAGCAATTTTTCTTCCTAACGAGTAGAGAGAGACGGAATAGAAAGAGAACGAGAGACTACCGGCGAAACGAGCCGCAAGAGAGAGAGTGTCCTAGAGAGAGAATCCTAGCCGCAAGGGAGAGGGAGAGTCCTAGAGAGAGAGAATATTAGAGAGAGAGAGTCAGTCCTGGTGCAATGGCTTCTTCCCGGAAGAGAAGCCCGAAGGGGTAGCTTCAGATGAATGAGACATGGCAAGGGGAGGTTTGGGTTTGGCTGATTGGGGAAATGGAGGGAGATCAATGTGCTCCTACAAGCGAACGGCCATGATCGTTTGCACCATTAACATAGGAGCCGCTCTTTATGTCCTTCAATCTCTCTTCTCCTCTGTCTACATTGTCTCCACGCACAGTAATGGCGTCCCCCATTCACAAACTGGTGGAGTACTTCTCTCTCTCTCTCTCTCATTGTTCTCTATTTCTATCTCTCTTCCTTTTTTTTTTTTTTGAAAAATAAACTGTTTTATCTTTTCCTGTTATTGAAATGTTTGTTTATCTGTGTTGTATGAGCAATTCAGCCACTACATACACCAAAGATCAGATAAACTTTATGGAAGAGGCCATTAGAATTCGACATATGGCTGAACCACGGGAGCTTCTTAGATTGGTAGTGGATCTGTTTCTCTCACCTCCTCTGCTTATTTTTTTCTGGGAGTTAATTAAAGTGGGTGATTTTTCTGCAAGAAAAAAAAAACTTCAAATTGCAACTTTTGATTGCTCATGAACTGTTGGGAATTCTCAATGCAGGTTATGGAAATTGACAAGGAAACTTCGAATGAAGAAGCGGTGAATATGCCTCAACCCATGAAGCAGAAGATAGCTGAAGAGATTTTGCATATGCTAAAAGAGCTTAAGGGAAATGCGACTGAACAAAGAGGTATTTTGCTTCTTGGTTGGCTGGGCGTGTTATGTTATAGCATTCTTTTTTCTGGGTTGTTGGTGGTTTAATGACTGATGTATGAGATGGGGATTTCAATTATTGTGGAAGCTTCTTACTTGCTTTTTTAATGTACAAATGATTCTTACTGTTCAAAAACCAATTAGGAGTGATTCTTTGGGTTTATAATGGTTTAATTGTTATATGAGATGGGGATTTTAAAGATTATGAATGTTTCTTACTGGTAATGGCTAACATTTGTGAGAGATTCTCTGCGTTTGTAATGTTTTATTGATTTGTGAGATTTTATGAGATGCGAAATTTAGTACAATGCAGGAACTTTCTTTGCAAATACAATCTAGCAAAACTTTAAATCGCTCTCTAATAATGATTCAACTTTTTCTCCTAGTATTCCTCTTGCTCTGATATTTTCAGGGGCTTACAGTTTGGTCTGATTGGATTGTCATATAAATTGAAGGATAACTATGTCGTGATTGGATTGCATATAAATTGAAGGATAACTATGTCGTTTGGGAGATAAGGGAAGTACAAGAATAAACAAAATGTCTTAAGATATTAGGGAAGTGTGATAATGGAGAAATTCCAATAAGCTATGGTCTACTACTGTTTGGTGATTATATACACATCTCAAATCATAAACAAAAATATATTGATTTCTTAGATTTATACATATTTCTAACAAAATGTATAAATATATCTGTGGGATTTCTACTCACTAGCACAATTTTTTTTTTTTAATCTTCTGGGACAATATCATTTCTTCTCTTGCAGAAATGAAAATTCTAGGCCAATTGGAAGTTTGGTACTCAAAATTCCTTTGACATTTGAAACCTCTATAATGGCCTACCCACCACTGGCAAATGACCTGACCCATGGTGTTGTGAGAACATGCAAGTTCATGTTGTGTTTTTCTAGATTTATTGATGTCATAATCATTTCAAAAAATTCAAATACTGGTAACAATTGGTATAAAATCGCCACATATTAAAGCTTTTGGAAATTATTCACTCTAGGGTGAGGGATTCTACCTCACTATTAGCTTCTCTAGGCACAAAGGAAGAGAAGGTAGGTAACTCTTCCCACACCACTTTATTTTATCCCAATTTATCTCTCCACTACCCTTGAATATCTCATATTTTAAAATCTCAAAGGGTATTCTACCTACGATAATTTTTTTTTGATAACATTGAGCACTGTGTCTGCCACAATTAGGCTTCTTTAGATAAAACAAAGATAAAAAAAAGTCTTTAAAGAAAACATTATATCTGGGGTGTTTTTCAGCGTGGCATAGAAAAGAAAGAGAGATAGTCGTCTTGAACTATAACAACCCTCATATATTTGGGAGAACTTTTGTGTGGCTCCAATAGGCAATACGATGTGATAAAGTAGGCTTAGGTGGGTTGACCATGTGCAATGTAGGCTCAATACAACACCTCTGACGAGGTGCAAGTTGGTTTTAGTGGAAGATTCATTGTTCAAAAAATGCCGGGCGTCGAGGTGGCCAGGGGGGCAATGTAGCCTAGAGCCTAGGCGGCCACTCAAAACCTGGGCGGCCTAGGTTCCAAAGGGGGCAAATGGTGTTCAGTAATCCAGTTTAAAGTACATATTTTGTATAAAATATGCATGTTTAAGCATTTTTTATAATAAAAACAAAAAAAAACCAAAAAATACCCCACTTGATGGGTATTTTTTCACCTAGTTGAGTGCAGTCCCCTAGGCACCTACCTAGGTACCCTCGGCACTCGCCTAAGCGGGTACTAGGCGGGCGCTCAGGGACCAAGGTTTCAATAAAACGCTAGGCGGCTTGCTTGGCGCCCAGCGCCTAGGCGGGCGCCCAGAACCTTGGGTACCCTGCGTTGCAAATTCTTAGTTTTTTTTATATATTTGCTATCCAAATGCACATATATGCATATATTTGTGTCAAAATTTGTAATTTATTCCATTTGAAATTGAAAATATCGCAAGTTCGCAACATACATTTTTATTTACAAACATATCACATGTCTTAGTCTCCCAGGTAAGCAGGTTTAGAATAAACTTATTCAAAAGTTCGAACCATCCAAAATGTTTAAAAGTCTAATAGGCTACTGTAAGGTCTCCAACTCTCATATTCTCCATATTCCGTATCCATAAAATAAACCATAATAACATCCAAGTCTCCAACTCTCCAAGTCATCAACAAACTGACTTCCAAAACTATAAAAAAACATTAAACCACACAACGAAATAGTCCAAAAAGGCAAAAAAATTGCAAACTACATAACTAAATAAAAATCCTTCAAACTCTAAATGTCTAAAGCCCAAACCAAGTTGGTGCAAAAGAGTATTAAATTTGCTTCAAAAGAAGAGAGAAGACAATCAAGATATCAATAAGAATCAGAATCATCATCTTCATTTGCTTTTCTCTGCATCAGAATTGAGGCCGTCATCATCAGAATCATCACCCTCTTCAACATATTCCTCTTCTTCCAGAGATTCTTCTGAATCTGCCTCTTCTTCATCTATCTCCCTCTGTGAAGTACCAGCAGAAGAAGTTGCTTGAGTGGCCCTCCTAGGATTAGAAGCTTGCCCCGAAGCCTCTTCGACCATTTCCCATGTCAAACCCTCCCCAGGGAAGACCTCCTTAGTACCAGGGTCACTAACTAGCCAATCTGAAGCATTCTCCATATCCTTCGAAGAGATGGGTCCTTCTTTAGCTGGTTTTTCTTCTCTTTGAGCCTTTGATTCTCTCTAACAAAAACCAAGTCATTGAGCTTCCTTTGCGCAAGCCTATTTCTTCTCTTTGTATGCACCTATAAGGAAAAATAATGCATAAGTAACTACTATAGGTCTATGATCTTCTTACCTTTTATGAATCTATATTACAAAATGAACTTATAGACAAAAAAAGCATATAAGATTGTAAAATAGTAAAATACCATCACAAACGAACTCCAATTGCGCTCACAACTAGAAGAGGTAGTTGTCAAACTCAAGATCTGCATAGCCATCTTCTGGAGGTTTGGAGCGTTACTTCCATGTTGTTTCCACCATTGGGCTGCAATATGTGGGCAACTTTTATAATTAATTTAGGTATTTAACATTATCAAAACTTGAAAGAAAATTATAAATTTATATTTTATAAAACAAAATTACATAAGTCAAAAGAATATTACATGGCTCGTCTTTGTTTATCTGCCTTAATGCCATATCTTTCCCAAATGACATCAAAGAACACTTGTACGAAACTAGCTCTTCAGTTGATAACTTATCTTGGATATTGGGATCAGGAACTAATTTTTCAAGGCACTCATTAAAACCATCTATAATTACCCCTTTTGACTCAATATCTGCATCTGCATAAAAGAATTTGGGGTTCAAGTAGTACCTCGCTGCATGCAATGGTCTATGGAGCTGCCTATCCCATTTGTCATCTATAATCTCCTAAATTGGGGCTTACTTCACTGCATCATTTCTCAAATTCTCTACAATCTCATTCTTAGCCCTTTCCATTGCATCATATATAAAGCCCATGGAGGGCTTATCAGCATCAACTAAGAGCAAGACCTTTACCAAGGGAAGAAATACTAATATCGTATGGTTCACCCCACACCAAAAATATTTCGAAAGAATAATATCTTGTGTCTTCTTTCCCTTAGTATCTCTAGACCACTTACACCTACTCCACTCATTTGAAGCCAACATAGACCTTAATGCGATCCTCCTCATATAATGCTCTGTAGACTAAAGTACAGTGTTTTAAAATGCGGCCGCATCGCCGCATATGTGGCTGCTTCATGCGGGATGTGCTCGCATCCGCATCGCAAACTGGTGCCTATGCGTCGCATCAGGCCGCATCATGGGCGCATCCCGCATGGCATCGCATCAGACCGCATCGCACAACATCTGTTTCCGCGGAAAAAAATTTCGATTTTGCCCCTCGGGGAGGGGCAAAATGGTCTTTTTGTAGTTCCAAAGTTTAGGAAAACTGTTTGGGGGGTTATCATACCCCATAAACAAAGATTTCCAGCCACTTTTGTGGCTTTTTTTGCATCAAATCAACGGAAAAAAAAAATTTGGCGAAATTGTTTTTTCATCCAAACCTTCGATTTGGCGGTTGTTTGATACTTGGATGTTCATTTGATGCCTTTGATTATTGATTTGGGGATGTTAAGGTGAATTTGTGATAAGAAATTGGGGATTTCAGAGGCCGTGAAGAAATCGAGGACTACTTCACAGAGTCGGTAACTTGTTATTCCTTCTTGTACAATAATACTGTTATACTTATTTTTTGGGGCAATGTCTTCTTCCCAATCTTCTAGTAACAAGGATCCGGCTTGAAAATATGCTAAACTAAAAAATCTGAAAGATAGAAATTGTGTGATATGCTTGCTCTGTGGAAATACTATATGGGTGGTATTTTTCGACAAAAAGAGCATTTAGTTGGAATTTTTGGGAATGTAAGAGCATTCCCACAAGCTACAGATGATATAAAAAAGGAGATTAGAGAATATTTGGATAGATTGAAAAAAGATAAAGAGAAAAAAGAAAAGAAAAGAAAGGAATTACTTGATGATATGCAATTATTTGATGATGTGATGATGATGATGATGGTGATGATGATATGTCTGAAGTTGCCATGAGGCAAAGGGGTACTCATACTCCAACCTCAAGAGAGAGGGTTATAAATATTGATGGTAGTGCTGAAAGAAAAACACCTCTCTAAGGGGCCAATGGATTCTTTTTTCACCCCTAGCCTCGAAATTGTGGTTCAGAAGAGAAAGAAAAAAATAAAACAAACCACAATTGACAATAAATATAAGAAAGAACAAAAGAAGTCGGTACATGGCCAGCATTCCTTTTAATACTATAACTTTGGATATTTTTGTATGTATGGTCTAGGCAATTGGGCAATATGGCCCAAGACTTATTCCTCCTTCACCACATGAGGTTATGGAGCCCTTGTTGAAGGATGCTGTATTTGATGTGAATAAAATTTT